CTCTCAGTGGGCTTTATCATCACTCTGTTTGGATTCCTAACCTTTCTTTCTATCTGCTTTAATCTCTAGACATTTTCCCCTAAAACAACCAGGTTATTGTTTAAAAGACTCAAATGTGATTTTAATGTTACAATTTTTAATGTTTTTCATGATCCTGCATAATCTGGCTCCTGCCCACTTTCTCACTGCTTGTTAAAGTTTGTCCCCTTTCTTAGTCTCTAGGTTGTCTGTCTGTTAAAATATTATTCTCATGGTATTTTTTACTTCATCTAAGTTATATAATTTACTTAATATTTTAGAATGAGGAGCCTGCTGGTGGCCTAGAGGTTAAGTCTTAACTGTTCAGTCCCAGCCTGGAAGCTAACCCACATGTGGTGCAGCAGACCTCTCCTGTCTTGCCCACTGCTCCCCTTAGCAATGTATTTCAGTCAGTCTGCCTGTTCTGCTTTCTACTCTGTCTCTGGTGAATCCTCTCACCCTGCCGTGCTTCTGGCCTATACCCCAGCTATTGTATAAATAAAAAATAAATCTTTTTTTAAAATGTTTTATACAATTTAGTGGTTGTGTAGTATATTCACAAGGGTGTGGCCTTGTGAATATACTTGTGCTAATTCCACCAATTGTAGAACAATTTCATCTCTCCCAAAAGAAGCTCCATTAGCAGATCCTTCTCATTTCCTCCTTCAGCCGTCCCTAGCAACCAATAATCTGCTTCTGTGTGGATTACCTATCATGTGTGGCTTCTAAACATCTGAAATATGGCCAGTGCTAATCGGAATGTGCTGTAATTGTAAATTATACACTGGGTTTCCAAGACTTATTTTAAAATATAATTTTATTTTTATTTTCCATTAAAATGATGTTTTTATATATTAGACATGTATACATTGTTAAAATTAAGGTCTGCTTTTACTTTTTTAAATGTGATTATAGAACATTTAAAGTACACTTGTTACTTACATTATATATTTTCTTGGATAGCACTGGTCTAGAACTTGTTTTTAAACAGGACTGTAAGTTTCTTCCCATGGCCTTAGTTTCCTTTATCCTTTTATCCTTAGATTTAATGGCGACTCCATTCTGGGGATGTGATACGCCCCAAGCTTGAGAATTATTTTTTTTCTTAGCCTGTTTGTAAGTGGAAATCTTTCTTATTTAGGCTTTAGAGTAGTAGAAAAATGGTCATTTATATTTAATTTTGAGAAGATAGTGGCAACTGTTAAGCCTCTCAAGTCTCATTTTCAACAAATTATGAAGAACTGAATTTCACATTTGCATGATAATGATGAACCCCTAAATTTTGATAGTTGTGATTTGACTCAGGAACAAGTTTTGTTTCTTTGTGACATTTTCTATAATTTTGGGGGTCATTTATGTTTGTTTTATCTGAAATTTGGATTTAAATTTTATTTTAGATTCCGTATTCCAGGGTAAATAAAGATGAGATTAATGGTAAATTATTCTTTTTCAAAAATACAATGTTTTCTTCAGGTGTAGGTTTTCTGCTACATCATCATAATGTGTCAAATGACTACTATGTTTTCAGCATTTACTGTGTGGTAGGCATTATTCTATATTTGTAGTTAAATTTCCTCCTGAACTATACATGGTAGTTACTATGACAATCTCCAGTTGACAGGATAAAACTGAGGTACAATGGCTAATTAACTTACTGAAGGTTACATAAATATTACATTGTAAACAGGTAAAACAGCAATTTATTTAGTGTTTATGTGGTAAAAATTTTTCGACTTTTTAGTTTTTTTCCACTCGAATGTAAACTCCACATGGACAGGGACTTAGTTGTATTTACTAATAATGAGATTGCTTCCTGGTATATTTGAAAGAATTTGATGATGATGATGATGATGATGTAAATTTACCAGAAGACATGGCTTGGGAAATCTATTAGAATTACTACACTGTTGCTTATTTGCAATATTAATCACATATTTCATATTTAGCCACCATCTGTTTAGCTTTGTATGCTATTTTTGTATACTTTATGTATGTTGTATCTTAATAAAGTAGCTAATTTTAAAATTATTTACTAGGGGCTTAGCTTCTGTTCACCTCTCCTTTTGTGTGTTAAGGATACATTGGAACCACGAGGGAAAATCAGGAAAACCAAGACTACCAGAGGTCCTGCTGGGTGGTTAGTTGAGTTGGGAGAAGTATTAAAAAACAACTTTGCAACTGCCCTAACTAAAGTGTAGTGCAGTGATAGCACAGTTTTTCAGGCTTTATGCAGAAGCCCCAGACCCCTGCCCACTGATTGTTATTAAAATGAATAATGCATTGTTTTGTTATTTATTTTTAAAAATTACATTTTCATTCTTTTTTTTAATTTTTTTTTTAAGATTTATTTTTATTTATTTATTTATGCAAACACTGGGTACAGTCAGAAGCTCATGAGGGTGAGAGAATTCACCAGAGCCAGAGCAGGGAGCAGCGGGCAGCGGGAGAGGTCTGCATGCCATGCGGGACCCTCCTCTGGTGGCCAGGGAGTAGCTGGGGATCGAACCGGCGCTGCAGAGGCTGCGGGCAGCTTCTCAACCTAGTGCTCAACTGCTGCGCCACCGGGGAGGCCCCTTTACATTTTCATTCTTAGACTAGAAACAACTATAAAATAGATTTTATACAATAGGACTTTAAAATCATAGTTGTTTTTTAACTTAATGTTGTTAGGGGAAGGATACCTGCTACTTCTATCTAAGCAATTCTCTCAATTCCGAAGTTTGTGTTCTTATTTTACAATAATAAAATTGAGAAATGTTAAGTGAACTACTGAATTAATACCATAAGAAAGTGGCAGAATTATTTTTCAATTGCCAGACCATTTCTAATATTTTCTGTTACCTTCTGTCTATTTTCCATATTTTCCTTACAGTTATTGATTCTTAAGCAGGTAGCAATAGGATTACAGTTTGGTACAATGGAGTAACTGGATGCTTGGATTAAACTGTGAGGGGGGTATAAAGAATAATTGTGTGGGTTCTCCCTGGTGGCGTAAGGGGTTAAGTCTCAATACTGTGAAGCTATCCGCAGCTGTAGCAAGAGTTTCATCCCTAGCCAGGAGCTGACCCACATGGGCCAGGTAGCTGACCCACGTGGCACAGCAGATCTCTCCTGACTCACCTGCTGCTTCTCTCAGCAGTGTATTTCAGTGGCTCTGCCTGTTCTGCTCCCCACTCTGTCTCTGGTGAATCCTCTCACCCCCTGCACCTCTGGCCTATACCCCAGTTCTTATATGCACAAATAACAAATAAATATAAAAAAAAGTGTGATGGAAAAAATATGGTTAAAAATATTTGTCTTTAACTTTCCATTTTCTTTTTATCTTTGGTTATCCACAGATAAAGACCCTACTCTAGACCATATAGAATGCTTCTTTATAATTGATTCATTGTGGTGATTATATTTTCTTGAGCTGATTTAGTCAGTTTTTCTTGCACTTAACGGTGTTCTGACCCATTTCTTCTGTGAATTATAATTTGGGGTGGTGAGAACAGAAGTAAACACAGAGGTATAAAAATTAATAATTGTTTATTTAGCATTTTACTAACTACAGTTCAGGCAATCTAGAAGGCAGTTTTTCTAATTTCTGCTACCTCCTCCTTTCCGTCCCCAGAACTTTAGTATAATCATATTCTTTAGTATCCTGGTCTTTTAGGGTTATTTACTTCTCTTTGGCAGGGAGTATTGTGGAAACAAAGAGAACTTTGAAAGCATGAGTGATTTGCAAGATCCAATTACTCTTGTTTTACTTACAAATCTTAGGGGAGAAATGAAAGTGCGTAATTACTCTTGTAACTTCTCAAGAAGTGGAAGTCAGATGTCTGTGATTTTCATGTTAATATTATTCCTTCCTGTGCATATTGGAAAAAGTATGTTACTATTGCTAAATTGTACATTTTGTTCTCTACTAGAAATAACAAGGATGATAATGATCTTTTAGGGTACAGAAATAAGTTTCTCATTTTTGCTATTTTAAGATAAAATATTCAGTGAAATTATTTTCAAAAAATATGAAATACTTTGATCCCAAATGGGCAGAGGTTACAAAGTAAACGAGTACTAATTAGAATGTTTTTAAGCTGCATAAAGTAGGTTTTTTAATAATATGTTCTAAAAGATAAGATTGATTATGAACCATGAATCATTTGCAGACAGGAACCTTTGAGCATTAATGTCAGTCCCACCAGAGGGTTTTCTGAATCAGTTAATGTTACTGTTGACTCAGAGAATGGACTGTTAAAAATTACTGAGAACTTTAAGATACACTGTTTACCCAAAAGTACTTTGAGAAGTGTAAAGTTCAGAATAGTTGTAGATAAAAAAAAAAGTTTGAAGTAATTTCCATTAAAGAAACCAAGTAGAAATACAAATTGAAGACATTAGAAGACTCTGCTGACACATTTTTTGAGATTCAGGAATTTTCAAGAATAGACAAATTAATGAGATGCTTAGAACTTTAACCATCCTGGCGAATATAGTGTAGTATTTCACTTAGCTTAAACATCTTAGAGTTGTGCTTGTGAGAACTTGTACAAGTGAGAACTTGTAGCCTAAACTGCTTTTAATGACCTTGAATTTTCTGTATATGGATAAGAATCCATGTAACCTGGGTATATACCATGGGAGTATTCATCTACAGATGAATAGATTTATCACTTTGGACCTAACATATATTGAATTGGCAAATTTAAAGTATGTGTTTGTTTTCCCATTACCATTACTATAAAGTCAACAAGCTATTATTGTACTATTGTTCAAAGTAGTGGTGTTTCATTTAAAACATTGAAATTAAACTGTTAGTTTTTTTGTTTTAAGTATTCTTAAACTTGGCTAATTCCTAGAAAAACACAAATTATTATATTTACTAGAGCAGATAATAAAGATTATGAAAGAAAGGCGGTTTCAAATTCTTTATAGGTAATACTTTAAAATAGGTTTTTCTTGCTGACATAACTAACATTTATTTTCTGTTTATTTTTAAGACGAGCAAAAATCAAATTAAAGTAGATCTTGTAGATGAGAATTTTACAGAATTAAGAGGAGAAATAGCAGGACCTCCAGACACACCATATGAAGGCAAGTACTTTTTTCTGTATCAAAATATTGTGCGTATTAGAACTTGTCTGAAACATTAAATCAGAAATAATCTTAAGCATCTATAAACTACATAAAAGTTACTTCATTTGACTTAGGATATATAGCAACTTTTAAACAAATTTAGATGCTTATCTAGGCTGATTTTTCTTACTGTATTTTAGCTAATTTTTTTCTTTCCCCAAAATAGATTTAGTAGAGCTAAGTTACAGGTTATGTAGGTTAGAACTTAACAGTATAAAACACCTAGTATGTTAAGTCTCTAATTTATATGCACTGTAGGCTCTCAGATACTCTTATATGGTATCTGTAACAAGCCTTGCCTTAAATTTATGACTGATAAAAAAAATTTTTTTTAAGTGTCTCTCCCCTGTTTGTCATTTAGCATTTCATTCACATATATGTCTTCATACAGGTTGTATTCCAAATATGTAAGTTTTTTTTTTTAATTCAGGAAAGCTTTAAGTGATCTCTCAAAACATAGAAAAGAAAGGCAGCAGCTTTGCTGAACTTCATATTCACAGACTAAGTCTGTCACTACTTTAGACCATGGAATTGGGTAGTACGATATAGAAAGAAACCTTATAGCTTTTAATCTCTTAATTATGCAAATCTTTAGCAATAACTATTAGTTTATAATACTGGGTTATTTGTCATAGCCAATATTCTTGCATATAATAGGCATTCAAATATTTGTTTAATAGAAGTCATTTAGGAAAATTTGTGGTACCAGCATTTATTAGGCCTTTACAAAATGTGTTTTTTCATTCAATACTTACAACAAAATTATGAGGTAAGTATAGTCATCTCTGTTTCATAGATAAACTTGAGATCAGAGAAGTTCCATAATTTGTCTAAGATCAGACATCTACGTACCACTGCTGGGATTTGAGTCCTAATACCTTTGATTTCAAAGCCTACATTTTTAACTTGCTTTTGAATAAATCTGGATTGACTGAATATTAGAATTGGTGGTTAAATCTATTTTGAATGTGGTAGTTCTATAAATCTGTAATAGGGTTACCAACACTGTTCAGAAAAATTTAGTTGTCTGGAATATTTTTGGTTTTCATTCAGATTTTTTGAGACTGCAGAATATCTTTTGCATATCCTAGCAACTCTTACATTTGATCTTAGCCAAAAGGCTGAGAAGCGAGCCTAGCAACTCTTAAATGACAAAATTTTATTTTCTGTCTTAGATTATATGAGCCATTTCTATATACAAAAATCAAGTTCTTAATAACAGATGCTGTATGTAGTGAAATACTAGATCCTTGTTGACAGAACTTAAAATAATTATACTTGAGGTTTTTCTAGGTTGTTTAGATGTATTTTTAAAAGACATTGGAGAATAACATCGTTGTAGAGTTTTTCTAGCATATTAATAATTATAAACAAGGTAACTCCTAAACTAATTTAAAATGTTCGTTATCTTCTTAGCAACCCTTAATAAAGGCAGATGACTTAAAAAATTGGACAATACACTCACTTATTTGTTGGATAATTGTTATAAATATACCATATTCTTTATTAATTAGAAAAAGTTTGCTCATTTTTTAAGTGCTTATTTTTGTTTCTGCCATTAAATGAGCTGTTTGATAATAGTTTAATAGACTTTTGGGGTATATATTTGAAAGATAAAGTTATATTCTTTTTATAGTAGTATACCTATTGAGAAGTTGTTCGTTTTAAGAAAATCACCATTCAAAGGAATAAACTTTGACATTTAAAATAAATATGAGCATGGATATAATATTTTGTTAATACTTTGCAGAGCTCTTGCTAGTTTTCAGGGTTTTTTTCCCAATATCCTCAAGGCTGCTTGCTTTTTTTTTTTTTTACACTAGCAGCTAAGGCGAAAGTTTACATGTGGGTTGTTAAACTAACATCATTAGGTAATAAAGCAACTATTTTATATAGTGTTAAAAATAATGAAATTGAGAGATAAAATACCCATGGAAAAATTATTGCACATTTTACCTAACTCACTTTTCTCTGACCTTAATAGCTCAGTGGCAAAGGAACAAGTTAGTTCTTGAGCCTTTCTTCCTAAGTGTTTTTAATTTAAGGAATCACTGTCGATACTTTAAAAAATCTCATCTGTCCCCCATCTTCCCTTTGAATTAAATTAAAAGATTATTAATTTTTAGTATCAGCTGTTTATCAGGAAGTAAATGTTTTACAGTGAAAGCTATTAAAAAGAATAATGTACTTATCTACTGTAAAAAACTCTAAGTTGTGTTCTAATATATATCAAGCAATGCTATGGTTAATGTAAAGTGGTTATATATTGAAATACAAATATATGCATGACAGTGCATATTGATCAGCAAATGGAGTAGAAATACGATTTGGGGGACTCTAGACTCTAGTATTATATCTCTGGGTTCTCCCACTGCTCTTAAGAGGTTGTTTTTGGGTGTTCAAGGAGAAATAACTTCATATGACAGGTTATAGAGACAGTAATCAGGAATTTAATAAAAAAATGTAAGATTCTTAGGAAGGAAAAAGAACTCTATTACTCTGGCCAAATTTATTATATCTTCATTTGAAGCTAGTGTTTATAACTGAACAAAAACAGTTACCTCTAAACTCACTTAATTTCCTCAGGTGCTCTTTTCTTACCTGTCTTTTATATCTTTATTTCCCTTTGACTACTTTCCTTTGTACTTCACTACTACTGTATGCTCTATAATTCAGGCATCTCATTCTACTCATGCATCAGTCACTGTGGGATTCTGTTAAAAGAAAATGAGCAAGAAGAATTAAAACCAAAAAGGGCTATAAGAAAGTGGTACTAAGTGAATTGAAATCTCCCAGATCCATGGTTATCTATTCCTAACAATGGAGGGTGTGGATTTGAGAAATTCAGGATATATACTGAGAGTTGAGTGTATGAACTTTGAAGTTACTGTTCCTCGCACAGTTTTTACTTTATTAACTATGTTTTGGAATAATGTGAATTCTGTGTAAATACTCTGAATAATGAGTATTTTAAGTCTTAAAGTCTTAGATTTGAAAGAGCCTAAGCATTAGGACTCAAATGCAGCCTCTCATCCAGTGTAAGACTTCTCTCTTCAGAGTTTACTTTCGCTTGAATACCCCGTTATGGGAAGCAAGATAGTTTTAAAAATACCTTCTTAGTTTCTATTGCAAAAGAGTGTTTGCATTCTGTTTATATATCACTGGTTAGAACAACCTCTTTGTAAAGTTTTGCATTTTGTGTATTGTATCCATTTATCACTTTTTGTCTTTACATCTGCCTCTAATTGCTGAATTTTATTTTTAAAATCTTAACAGGAAGTGTTGGCATTTAATTTAAGGCACAAGTCAAAGTTTGGGGTATTTGAGAGAAACATCTAGATCTTTTCAGCTTATGGCATAATCTTTCCTATTTCTTTGTACCCTCTATGCCTTTTTACATCTTTTCTTTTTTCTTTCTGTTTTCTCTGTTAATTTAACAGACTCTAGAGGAAGTAAAAGATGACAGAACCTATTCTGCTTTTACCAGTGAAATCTTTGGCATTGGATTGTGGATTTAATGTATCCATTATCTCTTTATCTCTAGCCCTGTAATTCATTGATAAACTAATATAATTGTATGAAATAGATATATATGCTTTAAAGAACCTTAAAAACCAGTACTTTTGATGGTTTCCTTTTTGAGTTTCAACTTTAAAATGAATAATATACCATGTTTGTATTAGCTTCACATATTTGCAGTAAGCAGCATTCTTACTTACCTTTCTGTTTTCCCCATTTTTTAGGAGGAAGATATCAACTAGAGATAAAAATACCAGAAACATATCCATTTAACCCCCCTAAGGTAGGTATTATAATTCTGTTTTTTGTGTGTGAACTTCTAAAATAAATTTCTTGATTCACTTAATTAAAATATATTTTAGTGCTTATTAATATGTTACTTTTTTGGTTGTTTATTGTGTAAATTTAGTGTGGATAAGAATTCAGATAATGGCAGATGGCTTACTTCTAGAATTAGAATGAAAGACAAGTTTATACAGGTAGCTAGTAATGGCTCTAAACAAGAATATGTTATGCGCCTGACCTTAGCTACAATTCTAGGTCTGGAAGAACTTGTATTACTCCCAAATTTAGAAAATCCTCTTTTAACAGTGTAAGTTTTCACTTGCCTCAAAAAACTGATTCATTCAACAATTATTTGAGTGCTGTGTGCCAGTATAGCAATAAATAAGATTATGTGTGCCATCCTTACTTTCATGGAGCTCACATTCCAGCAGAGAAATAAATAATTGTAACTGTGATGATGTTAAAAGAGGAAATGGAGTACCCTAGGATCATGTATAACAAAGGGAACTAACTAACACTTTTTGTTGACTGAATGTTTCCTTTATATCTTTACTTTTGCTGTCATTGTTACTTTAATTTAGATGTTCTAACTTTGTTAGCTTCCTATTTTTCCTACAATTCACCCTTCTGTCTTTGCCATTCCTAGTCTTTGCATTTATTTATTTATGCATACAAGAGCTGGGGTACAGGCCAGAGAGGCAAGGGGTGAGAGGATTCACCAGAGACAGAGTGGGGAGGGAACAGAACAGGCAGAATGACTGAAATACACTGCTGAGGGGAGCAGCAGGTGAGGCAGGAGAGGTCAGCTGAGCCTTGAGGGTTGCTCCCTGGCCAGCCGGGGATCGAACTCATATTGCAGAGACTGTGGATTGCTTCACAGTGCGGTGCTTAACCTCTTGTGTCACCAGGGAGGCCCTGTTTTATAAATCTTAATGAAGTGTACTTTTGATCATGTTTCTTTTCTTGCCATGTTGATAAAGGTTGAACTTCATTTATTTATTTGTTTGTTTATTTTAAAGATTTATTTATGCATACAAGAACTGGGGTACAGGCCAGAGGTGTGGGGGTTGAGAGAATTCACCAGAAACCGAGTGGGGAACAGAATAGGCAGACTGACTGAAATACACTGCTGAGGGGAGCAGTGGGCAAGGCAGGAGAGGTCTGCTGCACCATGTGGGTAGCTCCCTGGCCGGGGATGGAACTTGTGCTGCAATAGCTGTGGATAGCTTCATAGGTTGCATCTTAACCCCTTGCACCACCAGGGAGGGAGGCCCAAGGTTAAACTTCTTTTAACTGGACATTTTAAACTTCTGCAACCTGACCCCAATCCTCTTTTCCTTCCTAATCTTATACTACACTCACCTACAGCATAGCTCTCGTTTTCTAAACAAGATTACTTGCTGCTGGTAGATGATGCTTATTCCTCTACTCTTTTCTGTCATCTTCACTTGACTCATTGTCCCTGTTTAAAATTTTAGTTTTCTTGTGGCATTCTAGGTAAAGTATCACTTTTTCTAGTCAGCTGTGACCATCAAATTGTTTCTCCCTCTACCATTAGCATTTCATATTGTTTACATGTACCAACACAAATTCAGTACCAGTTAATGTATCATATGTGTCTTTCACTAGCTGTTAGGCTCCTGAGTTTAAGGATTGTTTCTTGTATAACTAATTTTCTCAGGCTCCTAACAGTATAGTATCCCTTGAGCATATAAATAGTAGTCACTCAAAATGTTTCGTAATTCATTCATTCAGCCTATTGCTTGTTCTCATTTAAGAATAGACCTGATGATGAAAGTTCATGTGAATTTGGATCACCTACCTTTATGGGGTACCTATTAATCTGTTGCTTATGTACCTCTGTTTTCTAATAAGACTTGTTGATTTTTTTAATATGGTAATGTATACATAATGTAAATTTTATCATTTAACCTTTTTTTTTTTAATGTGGAGTTGACTATCATTAAGTACATTCATATTATTGTGCAAACAACACAATTCATCTCCAGAACTTTTCTGGCTTCTCCATTAAACACTCCTCGTGGGCCTCCCCTGGTGGCCCAGCGATTGAGCGCTGGGTTGCGAAGCTGCCCACAGCCTCTGCAGCGCCGGTTCGATCCCTGGCCACTGGCGAGAGTCCCACATGGCACGCAGACCTCTCCTGCCGTCCGCTGCTCCAAGACAACACTCCTCATTACCCCATCCTCCCAGATCCTGGCAGCCACTATTCTACTTTCTCTGTATGTATGAGCTAGTCTAGGTACCTCATTTAAGTGGAGTCATATTATAGTTACCTTTTTTTTTGTGTAAAGATTTATTTATGCCTACAAGAGCTGGGGTACAGACCAGAGATGCAAGAGGTGACAGAATTCACCAGAAACAGAGTGGGGAACAGAAAGGCAGATTGACCGAAGTGCACTGCTGAGGGGAGCAGCAGGTGAGAGAGGAGAGGTCTGCTGCGCAATGTGGGTTGCTTAACCCCTTGCGCCACCAGGGAGGCCCTATAGTTACCTTTATGTATCTGGCTTATTTCACTTAATAGAATATTCTCAGGGTTCATCTGTATTATAACGTATCAAAATTTAATTATTTTCATTGCCAAACAGTATTCCTTTGTACATGTATAGCATATTTTGTTTATCCATTCATCCATAGATGGACATTTTGGTTGGTTCTATCTTTTAAACCTGGTTGAGGTTTTTTCCTTCGTGTTTTCCTCTCCTATTATAAAAGTAATCCATGTTTGTTATAGAAGTTAGAGGGACCTCCCTGGTGGCGCAGGGGGTTGAGCACAGTGCCGTGAAGCTGTCTGCAGCTTCTGCAGTGCAGGTTTGATCCCTGATGGCAAGGGAGATACCCACATGGTACGGTAGACATCTCCTGTCTTGCCGGCTGCTCCCCTCAGCAGTGTATTTCAGTCAACCTGCCTATTCTGTTCCTTACTTTGTCTCTGGTGAATCCTCTCACCTCCCGCAGCTCTGACCTATACCCCAGTTCATGTATGCATAAATAAATAAATCTTTTGGGGGGGGATTGTAAAGATGAAAGGATTTATTTGTTTGTTTATTTATTTATTTTTAAAGATTTATTTATGCATACAAGAGACAGGGGGAACAGAACAGTTGGATCAACCGAAGCACACTGCCAAGGGGAGCAGCAGGCGAAACAGACGAGGTCTGCTGCGCCATGTAGGTTGTTCCCTGGCCGGGCGGGGATTGAACCCATGCTGCAGAGGCTGCAGATTGCCTCACAGTGCGGTCCTCAACCCCTTATGCCACCAGGGAGGCTCAGATTAAAGGATTTAGTTCATGTAAGAACTATTTCAATAGTTAAATGAAACTTTTTCACATTTTTAACATTCTTAGATCACATACATCTTTTAGTGTGTGGCATTTGTTAATTGGCGGAGGTTTTCTTTAAACTTTCTCAAGGGTATACTAAATGATGTTGCATTTTTAATAATTGGTGATATCTGAGATTTTATGGAATATATAATACTTAGAACAATGCCTGTGCAGAATAAATATTTTTTATTTTTTTTTATTTTTTTTTTTTTTATAGAGGCATGTTTTATTTATTTATTATTTGTTTGTTTGTTTTGTTTATACATGCACTGGGTACAGTCAGAAGCGTGGGAGGGTGAGAGAATTCACCAGAGCCAGAGCGGGGAGCAGAGCAGGCAGAAGGACTGAAGTACACTGCTGAGGGGAGCAGCGGGCGGCAGGAGAGGTCTGCGTGCCATGTGGGACCCTCCTCCGGTGGCCGGGGAGCAGCCAGGGATTGAACCGGCGCTGCAGAGGCTGCGGGCAGCTTCGCAACCCAGCGCTCAACCGCTGCGCCACCGGGGAGGCCCAATAAATATTTTTTAAAATATTATCTGACATAACCAACTACTTAGTACCTCCTGAGTATCCCTTCCTGAAGTGTTGACTTCCCTCTCTTACATCATTTTAAAATACAGTAGGGGGCCTCCCTGGTGGTGCAAGGGGTTAAGACACAACCTATGAAGCTATCTGCAGCATGAGTTCGATCCCCGGCAAGGGATCTACCCACATGGTACAGCAGACTTCTCCTGACTCGCCCGCTGCTCCTCTCAGCAGTGTATTTCAGTCTGCCTGTTCTGTTCCCCACTCTGTCTCTGGTGAATCCTCTCACCCCCCACATCTCTGGCCTACACCCCAGTTCTTATATGCATAAATAAAGAAATCTTTAAAAAAAAAAGTAAAAAAATATACAGTAGCTAGGGTAAAGGACATTTATTGCTTTGGTTATAGAGGTGGTACATACATCTGAGGAGGTTATGAACCTGTTCTCATAAATCATAGACAATATTGTAAACCAGTGTTATCTCAATTAAAAAAATTAAATACATTAGCAGTAACATTTGAATTTCCTTTATAAATTAAAATCTCATACATTGATGGTAGAAATACACCATGTTGGAAATTGCTTGAAAAATTTTGGTCAGTGTGGTAAAAATAGACCATATGACCTAGTGATTCTGTTTTTCTGTTTACCCAGCTGAAATGAAAACATGACCACATAACAACTTGTTTATACCCACACTATTTATATAATACCCAAAAGTAGAAGTGCAAATATTTGTCATCTGGACAGATAAGCAAAATATATATGATACAATACTGTTTGATTAAATAAGCAAGTGAAATATTGGTATGTGCTATAAAATAGATCAACTTTGAAATCATAGTACTAAATAAAAGAAGCCAGGCACAAAAGGCCACATTATATTGTATGAATTCATTTGTATTAAACACTGCAAGAAGCAAAGATATAGAAACAAAAAATAGATTAGTGGTTTCTTGGGTCTGGGGAAATACAGATAATATATGAGGAGTGACTTCGGATGGTTAGACAGTGTTTGTTGGTTGGGTTTTTTTTGTTTGTTTGTTTGAGGCAACATTCAAAAATGAATATGTGGTGAAAGGTGCACAACTCTGAATACCTGAAAAACCATAAAGTTGTACACTTAAAATGGGTGAACTATGATCACAATAAGTGTTTAATTTTCCCCCTGTATAATCTATATTAATAGCTCCAAATGATCTCATAGTCCTGACTCGTAGACACTTGATACATTATTTCATTTAGTCCTTGAAATCACTGTCATTTGTTTTTTAGTAAAATGAGAAAAATAGATGCAAAACCTAAGAACTGGAGTCTGTCTGATGTTTTTGTAACTATATTATAATGTTCTTCAGGCCACTGCTATCCTCATCGCAGTCATTTCGTATTGAGGTAGCTTTAACATTTGGAAAGGTCTTCCTTCAGTTAACCTAATTTTTTCTCCTTTTGGCTTCGGTGGGTTAGTTACAAGTAGAATTTAGCTTGGGTTTTTTTTTTTTTTTTTTTAAAGTGTGACACATAGACCATTAAGTGGAGTAAATGTTAATGAACATATACTCAGTATGTTCTAGATATGTACTAAATTGATTTGGATTCTTGCAGATTGGTAAATATATGGAAAGAATGGGGTATATTTGTGCATATTTCTTGTTAAATTGTGTTCACATGTTTAATATGTAGACTTAGGTTTAATTTTAGGTCTTATGAAATAAAAGTATTGAAGTTAAGTACTTATAGTGTCTCCCTACTGCTGTGCAACTAAAATTGCAGTCTGAAAACTTACATCGATTTATCTTAACGTGGGCACAGTTTTTCTCTTTACTATACTGCAATATATTATTGACCTGAAGAACCTGCAGACGACTTAATAGACAGAGAATATGTTTCTTTAAAGCAGCTGAATGTAGTGTAGGAGGGATTTGGTTCAATCTATACTACCCATTTGATTTCTAGAGTAAATTGTAATGTATATTTACTAATGAAAAAGCTTCTTAAATTAGGAAAACTCTAGCTCAATAATCTGTTCACTCATGTATTAGAGATTGGTTTGTGAATTTTTCTTTTTCCTTGGTGTCATAACCATATATTTTAATATGTGAAATTGAGTACAAATACTAAGAACCTTTAATGAATCTGTATGTAGCATGGTTACATACAGATTAATATTTAATATCTTTGATTTCCAAACTTGAAACCAGAAATTTCCAGTGGAAACATGAGCTCACATCATATTAACGAATGTGATACATCCTGTGGAAGGAGATAAGAATTTACTGATGATTGTGTGACAAATATAAATAACAAATATTTTCCTTCCTTCCTTTCCTGTATTGTAATGTTGTTGGGATTTTTTTTTTTTTTTTTTTTTTGAAAGCTGCTTATACTTTGCATGCTCCCCAAAGTTCTAATGAGTATTCTGTAGTTACCCGGATGGTGCTGATACTAGTTTTGTTTGTAAAGATAACAAAACTTGAATTGTACTGCTAGTAAGTGCTTTAGTGGTAGTAAGCCATCCCACATCTGTTTTGTAATCAGAGTCAATATAACTTCATTAGATCATAAAAATATCATTGTATTGTTACTCAGTCTTATGTTTTATCCCTTCTAGTTTTTTTTTTTTTTTTTTAAGATTTATTTATTTATATAAGAACTGGGGTACAGGCCAGAAGCAAAGAAGGGTGAGAGAATTCACCAGAGACATTGCGGGGAGCACAACAGGCACATGACCGAAAACACCACTGAGGGGAGCAGCAGGCAGGCAAGACAGGAGAGGTCTGCTGCGCCATGTGGGTCTCTCCCTGGCTGTCCGGGAATTGAACATGCGCTCTGCAGAGGCTGTGGACAGCTTCACAGCGCTGCGCTCAACCCGTTGCACCACCAGGGAGGCCCTCCCTTCCAAGTTCTTTTGATGCTACATTTTTGTTGGTGTAGAATAGGGAGAAAACGATTAATACCATGGATGTTAATTGGAATATAAAATAAAATGGTAGGACAAAATTCTGGGATACATGTGGGGAGTGCATGTGATACTCAAGTTTGAGAAAGAGAAAGAAGTAAACAACTGAGAAAGGGGCTTCTCTTGTGCCACAAGGGGTTAATATGCAACCTGTGAAGCTATCTGCAGCCACCACAGCACAATTTCGATCCCTGGCCAGGGAGCTACCCACATGGCACCGCAGACCTCTCCTGACTTGCCCGCTGCTTCCCTCAGCAGTGTATTTCAGTCAATCTTCTTGTTCTGTTCTCCACTCTGTCTCTGGTGAATCCTCTCACCCCTTACACCTCTGGCTGGTACCCTAGCTCTTGCATGCATAAAATAAATCTTTTTTTAAAAAAAGTATTAATTTATGAGATCATCTACAAGTTCAAACTTACTTGTTTTTCACTGTAGATTGTAGCACAAGGTAATAAATCGTTCAGTGATTTTGTCGTTACTTCAAATTTGTTCTCATACATGTCTGTAGGGACTCAAGTTTTCTAACTTTTTGAAAATACTAAGCCAACTTTTGTTTGAAAGTCTCAAAATGCTGTTATTTCCTTGAATTACTGATATTATATCTGTTATAAGTAAATGCTTGTTGTATATAAGCCCTAGATGCCTTTCTGATATGACCCTCACTATATTTAAGAGGGATACTATTTAGCCTTATATAACAAGTGTGAGGCAGTTTAGATAGGGGAGGGATGTGCTCTTGTAAGCAGGATAGATACTGTGCCTTTTAGGGAAGACCATACCAAAAAGCAAGAGATTATATAAGTGTGATCAATACACTGACATAGGAGAGTACAGGGCATTATGGTGTGTGGAAATTTGTAGAATGAATAAGCGTTAGCTGGAGAGAGGGTGTTGAGATGTATATGGAGTCATACCCCCCCAAAATTTTTTTTTTAATATGACTTGTTGAGCAAGTGCATGGAATATGGGATAGAAGTGAATTTGAGAGATAACCTGTGGCCATTTTAAAAATTTATGATAAGATGAAAACTAAAGGGCCTTATAGGGTACTGACATGAATCAGATTTGTTTTAAATGACTCTCCTGTTTTAGAGTGACTTGATTAGAGAAACAAATCTGGTGTCAGTCAAGTTAGTAGACTGTTGAGTAATCCACATGAAGAATAGTCATCTCCTTTAATAAGGTGTTTTTTGTTTTTTTGTGGGACCCTCGCTGGCGGCCGGGGAACGAACCGGCGCTGCAGAGACCGTGGGTAGCCTTGCAGCGCAGGCTCAACTGCTGCGCCACCAGGGGAGGCCCTAATGTGTTTATTTGTGTAGAGAAAAGTAAAATCATTGAAAGCAATAAGATTGTTTTAAGAATAAATACAGTGTCCATTAATTTTAGGTATTTTGAAGCAGTAAGAGTGTTTTAAGAATAAAAGCAAAGTGCCCGTTAATTTTAGGTATTTTGAAATCACTGGTGACAAAGTGTTTTTTCTTTTTTTAAAGATTTATTTATTTATGCATACAAGAACAGGGGTACAGACCAGAGGTGAGGGGGGTGAGAGGATTTACCAGAGACAGAGTGGGGAACAGAATAGGCTGATTGACTGAAGTACACTGCTGAGGGAAGCAGTGGGCAAGTCAGGAGAGGTCTGCTGCACCATGTGGGTAGCTCCTTGGCCGGGGATTGAACTCCTGCTGCGGTGGCTGTGGACAGCTTCATAGGTTGTGCTTAACACTCTTGCACCACCAGGGAGGCCCGACAAAGTGTTTTTTCACATGGCAAATAATGTAGTCACATAGGTAGTATAAATGAATCATGTCACAAAGAGACAAGTGAAAGCTATCTGTTTACTTTCTTTCCATAAGCAGCTTAGATTTGGAACATACATTAATGAGTTAGTTTTTGTAAAATACTTAGAACATTGTGTGGCTCCTCCTAATTAGGTACTAAAGAATTTTAACTCAAATGGTCAGTACTCATGGGAATCTGATAGCGTTAGCATTTTCACTTTGCTGCTTTCTTATCCTCCATATTTATACAAATAAATGATTACAGAATCAGAGTCTGAAATCAGATGGTGTTTGTATTTTGTTATATTGCTAACTAGGTTTTTGATCTTGGATAAACTCAAACTCTAAACCTCAGTGTCTTCTCAGTGCTTGGCACATAATAATCAGCCTTCAAATATTTGTTGAATTATTTAAGAAAAAAGAATTGAGGGAAAATGCTAAAAATAATTAGGGGCAGTATTATAGCCACTTATTACCTGTGCTTCCATGTACTGATTTTGCTTGCTTTTTTCCTACGAATCTATTCTGTACTTTAAACTAAAAAATACTTACTATTTGTTTTCTGTGTTTTGATTGTACGTACTACTTTATCTAAATAGATGTTTCATTCATGTTGTATTTCTCATAATATCTAGCATTTTGCTAGGTGAATTAAAAACACCTAATTATTGTTGGATTTCTTTAAGGGGAGAGGGCATTGAAAGAATTAAAGAGTATATATGTCAGTGACAGCATTCAGCTTACTGAATGCTTTGTCTTCTATCTACACCCCTCTCTTCACCTAAGCAAAATAATGTAAGTATAAACATTTTTATTTTAATCTGAGGTTTTCATTTTCTTGTAGTTCTGCTTAAACTATAATTATTTTATTTCTGTTATTTAAAAAACTCAAGTATACTTTATATTCTAGGTCCGGTTTATCACTAAAATATGGCATCCTAATATTAGTTCCGTCACGGGAGCTATTTGTTTGGATATCCTGAAAGATCAATGGTAAGAAATTTTGCATTTACCTTCTCCCCCCTCTTGTAAATTCCAAGACTATTTACAGTGTTAAATGTGTCATTTCCTCAGACTGTGAGCTTATGTTTTCTCTTATTTGGGCACAGTAATTTTAAATCTTTATGAAGTCTCTTGAGTACATCATTGAAAATGTATTATGATTGAAATCATAATTTATATTTATATATTTATCATTTGTAATTTATATTTATATATTTATAATTTATATTTAAATTAGGTAATGTCATGCTAGCTTTATTAGGTAATGTTATGCTAGCTTTATGTCTTAAAAAGTCTTGTGCTTCATTTATTTTGGTCATTTTAATTCTTTGCTATCAGGAATATATTTGTGATAGTCATAAATTTAAGTATTAAAGCAATCAGATGTGACTTGGAATATACAGGCAACAAAATATTAAAAGTTGTGTTAATTGAGTACAGTTAAAATTTCTCAGATTCCAAGAAATACATACATTTGTAGGCAGCATCTTCATTTTCACAGCACTTTATAGTGCTTTCACATGTTTTATCTAGCAGCATACCTTTTAATAGCTCCTGCTCTGGAGTCATCCAGCTCAAATCCTGATTACAATTTACTAGCTGTGTGGTCTTACCTAGTATTTGCACATTAGTTTCCATAATTGAGAAAGTAGGGTTATTAATCTACTTCATATGTTCGGAGAATTAATTGAGTTGTTTTCTCTACAGTAGTTCCCCTTTAAAATCCAGAGCGTTGCTTTCCTTGGGTTTAGTTATACCCACAGTCAACTTCAATCTGAAAATATTACATAAAGTAAGATGTTTTGAAAGCAAAATTTTTATACTATATTATTGTAATTGTTCTATTTTATTATTTTATTACTCCCTTGCCTAATTTATAAGTTAAGCTTTATCCATAGATCTGTTCGTATAGGAAAAATCATAGTATGTGTAAGATTAATTACTACCTACAGTTAGGCATCTATTGGTTATTGGAATATATCACACACAGATAAGGGGGGACTACTGTAATTCTCTTGGAATAAAACCTGGCATATTTCAACAGTATGGCTGGAAAAAAAATAGGACAAGAGGTATAAAAAGGCAGTGGAGTGGGAGAAACAATAAGTTATGTGTTTGATTTGTTAGGGTAGGAAAAGAATGAAACTAATATGGTAAAAACATTATTGTTTGTTTTTCAGGTTTGATTGACATGGTATTATCTTAGCTTCAGGTGTACAATATAATAATTCAGTATTTGTATATATTGCTAAGTGATTACTACAGAAAGTCTAGCTGACATCCATCACCATGCATAGTTAGTTTTTTTCTTGTGATAAGAACTTTTAAGGTCTACACTTTTGACAGCTTTAAAGTATATAATACAGTACTATAGTCACCATGCTGTACATTATACTTCCATTATTTAATTTATTTAATAAGTAGAAGTACATACCCCCTGTGCACCCTTCTTTGACCCCCTTTACCCATTTCACCCTCCCTCTAAACACTGGCATCCACTAGTCTGTTCTTATGAGCTAGATTATATTTTTCTTTAAGAGTCCATAGTTGATTGAGAGATCATACTGTATGTGTCTTTCTCTGCCTCTTCCACCCTCCCACGAGTAGCACATCTGAGTAAAGCTTGTTCCTCAGTAGGTCATCTCTTGGGATATAATTTCTTTTCTTTTCTTTTTTTTAAAGATTTATTTATTTATTTATACATACAAGCATTGGGTACAGTCAGAAGCGCGGGAGGGTGAGAGAATTCAGCAGAGCCAGAGCGGGGAGCAGAGCAGGCAGAAGGACCGAAATACACTGCTGAGGGGAGCAGCGGGCGGCAGGAGAGGTCTGCGCGCCATGTGGGACCCTCCTCCGGTGGCCGGGGAGCAGCCGGGGATCAAACCGGCACTGCAGAGGCTGCGGGCAGCCTCACAACCCAGCGCCCAACCGCTGCGCCACTGGGGAGGCCCGGGATATAATTTCTTGATCTTGTGTTCCGTAATGTTAAACATTGGACAGTGTAAAATTGATCTAATTTATCTTTTCTCATTATTTTTGATTTGTAATATTTTTTTGGACAATTTGTTGACTTTCAAGGCCAAAGTGTATTTAAAAAGCTATCTCTCCCAAAAATCATTATGATTCTATCACTCAGTGATACTAATGAATGTTTGCAGTATTGGAAATGGGGTACTTTTTTACACTTGGTTTCTATTCTCCACTTCCTATGCATTCTCCCTAACTCTAACTAGTTTCTCTCGTTTCCTGAAGTTTTACACATGAGAACGCCTTAAAGCTAAGTCTTGACTTCCATTCCTTTTCATCTTTACTCATTTCCTTGATGAGCTCATTTGATTCATAATTTCACAGTTTATACACTAACAACTCACATATTTATCTTCCCTGAATTCCAGAACCATATCCTGCTGCTTGCTCTTAGTATCTATACTTGAATATGTAATAGATATTTAAAACATAAACATTTTAAAAACTGAACTGATGTTCCTCAACCCAGATTCATTTCTTCACCATCTAAATTATTGGCAACTACATCCTTGCTTTTGCGCAGGTGAAAACTTCGTCATGACCTTTGGTTCTTCTTTCTCTGGTACTCTGTACCCCTATTGTCAAGCCTCCAACATCTTAGCAACCTCACATTGGACTTTACTCCCTTAGTCCAAGTTGCATTACCACTTCTTAAATGATTACAGTAGGCTCTTTCCTTGTTTCTGACTGCCCTGTTCAGGCTATTCTCAGCAGCCAAAATGATACTCTCTCCCACACCTTTAAAGACAAATAAAGCCCCAGACAACAATCTTTTTTTTTTTTTTGGTGGGACCCTCGCCGGTGGCCGGGGATCGAACTGGCGCTGCAGAGGCTGCGGGCAGCCTCGCAACCCAGTGTTCAACCACTGCGCCACCAGGGGAGGCCCCAGACAACAATCTTCCACTGACTTCCCTTTTGCTCAGAGTTAAGTCAAAAGTATTCTTCCTACCACTCCTTATTATCTCCTTATGGATGGTTGAAAGATTATCGTGTCTGTGTATACAGGGAGAGAATTTGAATTTTTATAACAGCACTTTATCAACTATTCCTGTTTAATAAGGCAGGTGCAGTAACTGAATTTAGTCTTATGTCGTATCTGCATAATTGAAGCATTAAAAGATATAAAAGACACATCAGATGATTAGGTGAGATTGGGTATTTATGGGTTTGCACAAGCCACCTCCAGCTTTTTTGAAGAGTTGACATTCAGTGGATATCCATGTTTAAACATGAATTGTTTAGACTTTAGAACTGGAATTTGATAAAGAAAACTGAAGGATGATAGTATTTGTTGTATAAGTTAAATAAACACTGAATAATTTATTAATTTTTTAAAAAGATTTGTTTATGCATACAAGAACTGAGGTCTGGGCCAGAGGTGTGGGGGGTGAGAGGATTCACCAGAGGCAGAATGGGGAGCAGAACAGGCAGATTGACTGAAATACACTGCTAAGGGGAGCAGCGGCGAGTCAGGAGAGGTCTGCTGTGCCATGTGGGTAGCTCCCTGGCCAGGGATCAAACTTGTGCTGCAGTTGCTAGCGACAGTTTGATAGTGCTGAGACGTTACCCCTGCGTCACCAGGGAGGCCCAACATTGAATGATTTAGTACATGTATACTAGAAAAAAAATTACTCGTTTTGGTCTTTATTATATATAAATGGTTATTTACTTTTAATATTCAGCAACTTGTTTAGCATTTGTTTCTTAACGCTACAACTTAACCCCGTGTGGACTATTTTCTGGTCTTTTTCCATTGATACCTGCTAGGATAAAAGATGTCTATCTGGAGAAGAAAGTAACCAAACATAAAGATTTAGCTCAGTTACTGCCCTTCCAAGAGACGGCTACAGGCACAAAGGAAATGTCTAGCTGGCTGACAAGCTAAGCTCAGCATCATTAGTCATCAGTGACGTGCAAGTTAAAGTCATAGTTTACTCCCACTACACACTTGATTAAATGATTCTCATGTATCACTGGTAGGGGTATGGTTCAGCTGCTCAACCAGTATCAGCCAAAGCTAAGTATATACCTTTACTGTGACCTAGCAGCCATACTCCTAGTTATATATTCAAGAAAAATCCAAGAGAAATGAGTGTCTACCAAAAGACTGTATAAGAAGATTCATAGCAGATTTATTCAAACTGGAAATATAACTGAAATGTTTCTTGCCAAAAAAATAGACATATGAAGTATAATCATACCTCCCAGTGGAATACTACGTAGCATTAAAAAAAAAAATGAGCCCATAATGACACAAATTCAGTTTCCCAGAGATGTGCCAAGTGACAAAAGCCAGACACAAAGGGGTAGATACTGGGTAATTCTGTTTTTATGAAATTCAAGATGAGCTGAAACTAATTTATGCTGATAGAAATTAGGCCAGTCATGGGCGTAGGTGAGGTGAAGATTGCAAGTGGGAGGGGCAGGAGAGACTTCTTGAGAGCTGAAGATACATTCCCTGATGTCTACATCATAGATGCATGGATGTAATCATATATAAATGTTTATCCAGCTATAGATCATTTTACTTTAGTACATAGCTTCATAAAAATTAATAACAAGGGGCCTCCCTGGTGGCGCAAGGGGTTAAGCACAGCCCTGTGAAGCTATCTGCAGCCTCTGCATCATGAGTTCAATCCCCAGCCACGGAGGTGACCCATTGGTGCAGCAGACCTCTCCTGTCTGACCCGCTGCTCCCCTCAGCAGTGTATTTCAGTCAGTCTGCCTGTTCTGTTCCCCACTGTGTCTATGGTGAATCCTCTTACCACCCCCCACACCTCTGTCCTGTACCCCAATTCTTTTATGCATAAATAAATAAATCTTTTAAAAAATTAATAACAAAAGAAATTGCCATTCTCTTCAAATGGCATTAGTGCTGAATAAACATAAATTCTTTATTGCTGGTCTTCTGGAAGATCCTTAACTGAAAAGTTAGCCAACAATAGATAATTCATATGCTTATT